CTCAAAGATGGAGAGGACAGCTGGAAACACAACCAGACAGAAAGGTAACAGAGTAATCTAAGAAACAATTTGTAACTTTAGTCCCAGTCCTTCTGTGGGGAGGGGAAGCCAAAGCCAGGCAGCCTCTGTGACAGACTGACAGAGCTGTGGGACAAAAACTACACCATCCACAAACCCCAACCCCAGTGTGAGGATTTGGTGAGACAGTGACTTCCCCAGAGCCACAGGCCAGCATCGCCAAGCTGAGCCCCTAACTCCCCTTTAAAAGGTAGACATTTTCTCTTAGAAGGGGGATGATAGAGCTTTGAGAGGTTCACTCTCCCTGTCCTCCTCTTTGTCTGATGAATAATAAACCTATTTCCCTTTTTTCAAAACCCTGCTCTTGTTATTTGGGGTTTTTTTGTTTGTTTTGGGGTTTTCCCCTTGCTCTTGTTATTTGTAAATTAAGAATTGGCATTGAGGCCAGGGGACCAGTTTTGCATTAACAAGGCTAGGGGTGGCTTAAGTTCCACCACCCAAAAAAAAGAAAAAACTTAGGAACTACAAGTTAAAACTACATTATAGTGTACCTATACCGTGGAGTATTATGCAGCCATAAAGAAGAATGAAATTATGCCATCTGCAGGAAAATGGATAAAAGTAGAGATCATGTTATGTAAAATAAGCCAGACTCAAAAAAACACTTATTTTCTCTCATATGTGGAATCTAGACCTTAAAAAAAAGAGATATGAATGGTTGGGCAGGGAATCAATGGGGGGAGGGGGAAGGAAGATAGTGAGGACAAATATGATTGAAGTATATTATATTCATGTACAAAAATACCACAATAAAACCCATTAAAATTGTAACAAAGAGGCTGAGGAGGAAAAAGGAAGCATAATAGAGGGGATAAATATGTTTGTTTGGAAATATCACAATGAAACCCCTTTGTACCAATCATGTAAGCCTACAAAAAGATGCTTTGATTCATTAGTAATTAGAGAACTGCAATCAGAACCATGAGTGTAATTCACACCCACCAGATTTTCTAAATTAAAACCCAGCATCATGTACCAGTGAGAATTTTAAACAGGAAACTCTCATACCCTGCCGAGAAGAGCATAAACTATTTTACCAATTTTAAAATGATGTGGTATTATCTTGTAAATCTGAACACAATCCAGTAATTCCATTTTAAGTGTATAATGAGAGAACAGCATTTTACAAACTCTGAATAATGACACACGACACACCCAAGTGGCTGGCTTTTAACCAGAATTTTTACACAAAATAGTATGGAACAGAAAATCAAATATCAGAGCACATTGCAAGGGGGTTAAGCAGTGCCTTGTGAGAGTTTACACACCCACCCTGTAACGCATTTCTTCCTATGGGTCATGCTACAAGGATTTTCAAAGTTACTGCCCTACGTGGAACTCTTACACGTGTGCTCCAAGAGACTCACAGAAATGCAATCAGTGGAATAACAAAGCCCTGGACAAGGCCAAGTGCTCTCCAGAATGTAGAACAGATAAATTAAGGAGTAAAGCAGGGGCAGTTACAGTGCCTACTTCACAAGTGGGAGGCCCCGAGTTCAAACCCCAGCACCACCAATAATGACCGAGTGCTATCCAACATGAAACCAGTGCAAGGTCACGTGTGTCAACATGGATGCTTCTCAAAAACAGTATCAAGCCAAAAAAAAAAAAAATCAAGTCAGAGAACAGAGAAGAACACATGAAGTACGAATCTATTTATATGAAGAGGTCTTAAAATGTGCGATTTTAGGGATTTAAGTATAGTCAAGGCCCGATGAAAGAGAAGGGAGCCAGCGCTCACAGGGAAGGTGACCAGCCACAGTCCCAAGTCCATGCTATTTGTGTATCTGGGTAACATTTGCCGGTCCCCCACTGCAGAAGTGGTTTTCAGAAAACTTGTATCTGACCAAAACGTTTGGGAAAACTGGAGGGAAGACAGTGCGGCCACATCCACGTATGAAGTGGGAACCCCCCGACTATGGAGGGCAGAGCTGCATGAGGAAGCACCCCACGAGTCACGCTGCCCAGCAGGTTACCAAAGACTGCCACATTCACTTACGTGCTGGGTATGGATAAATGCAATCGGAGAGATTTGAAAAGAAAAAGGAATCGAGTTAAAAACTGCAAAGCTAAAGCTAAAATCAAACTACTCAGGAACTGTGACCCACAAAAACAACTCATTATTGAGGACCCCTATTATGGGAACGACTCATGCCAGCAGGCCTCCGGTGCTACAGAGCCCTCCTGGAGAATGCCTACCACCAGCCTGCTACTTGCCACCAGTCCTGTGTCCAAGTATGGTGGCATTCCTTAACCCCAAGCCCCACCTGTTTCTTCAGCCGACTTACTATTTATCTTCAAAAGAAAAAAAAATTGTAGGTTGCAGTCAATTGTATTCTCAGAAAAATAAATAGAAATGTTTGATTCAGACAGTTTGGAGCAGTAAGCACCCAGACTAGTTGAACCTCTCACTTTGCCCTAATTACAAAATAGTGGAACAAGCAAATATGGAACAGCAAAATAGAACACAGCGAGTAAGAATGACCTGAAGGCCAGGTCAACCTCTGAGCCCAGACCTGCATAGTCTGGTTTACCTGGAGTGTGTGAACAGCCAGCACTATTCAGTGTCTGCTTACCTTGCACCCTGCCCTGGGCTCTTGTGGAGTCCTAGCACCTCTCTGCCTCCCTTGGACGTGTTTGGGCAGATACACTCCTAGTGCACCCTTGTATATTTAAAAGCTAGGAGAAGCAGGGCATGGTGGCACATGCCTGCAGTCCTGCACTAGGGAGGCTGAGGTGGGAGGATCATAAGTTCCAAGCCAACCTGGGCTGAATAGCGAGATCCTGCTTTACAAACACTGGAAACAATAAATAAATAATAAAAGACTGAAAAGATAGTTGGAATGAATCTTTAGCATTCTTAATATTTGTTGGTTTGTGTCTAGTTTATTTCATGGGAGGGTCACTTATTGACTCCCAACTAAGCCTCTTTGCCTCTGAAAATTATATACAGAAAGCAGGATGCCTGTACACAGTTTAGAGGAATGTCTGGTTTCTATGTATATGAAACCCAAATGTCAAAAATAAATTGGCTTAAGTGTGAAAAAGTTGAAAAGTCCTGTTATGTTAATGTGCTTAAATACTGATATGTTGATAAGTATTCATTCATCAGTGTTTAAAAGAGTTACAAACAGGTAATATTGTGTACTGTCAGATAACTGCCCTCGAATTCATATGACTATATGTCACAAAAGATTGTTTTCTAAATAAACTGAGGGATTATAAAAATACAACAGAGATTTTAAAAAAGAAAGAAAGAGAAGGGAATGATAAACAAAAAAAACCAGGTTACCTTTGCAAAGATGGGCAGGGAGGCTAATGGGATGGGGTACAAAGGACTTCCAGGATTCTGGTTAGTTCTTAAGATGAAAGGTCTGAATGGATCAGCAGTGAAATCTCTGCATCACTCAATTTACCTCTCCCACTCCTGACCTCAAGTATAACTGTCACACGTGATATCTGTCCTTACTATCCCATATTGAGTTGTGCTTTCCATTGATCAGTTTTAAAAAAAAGTCCTTTAATTTAGAGGTTACATAATTGGGATCTTACTTAGTACAAGCCATCATTCAATCCTATTCTGTTTGTCTCATCCTATCATCAAAACCTGACTAACTACTAACTACAAAAAAAGTATTAGAAGTCAGGAGCTTGAAGCATCCAAAGAAATGGTAAGGATATAAAAAATGCTAATCACTCTTATTTGATAATTACACACTATACACATGTTAGAATATCACACTGTATTCCATAAATATAATGATTACACTTTAATTTTTTTTTAAAAGAAACTTCTGTGGCCAAAGAAAATTCTGCAAGAAGCTACACAAAACTAGCTTTTAAAAATCTATTTGGAAAGAAGAGAGTGTTATTAAAACAACTCAGCATTTTTCTAGTCCTAAGACTTCTTCCCTAGAAACATTCTGATTAAGCATATTGACACCAAGCACAATCAAGATCTTAAAAAAAATCTATAAATCACCAACAGTAAGGAGACAGGCTTGTACTCATGCCCTTAGCAGGGAGCAGTTTAATCTGCTCAGAAGATTACACACACTTCACACACACACACACCGACCACTGCAGCTGCAGTCTGGAGGTCAGAACACAGGCAGAACTCAGCCACTGCAGTTACAAAGGAGAGAGTAGATGAGGTTCCAAATGGGGCATGGTCTCTGTTGTTTTGTCCAGAGGAACAAAGGACAATGGTTTCCTTCCCAGACAAATCCTATACAGGAGACTATGTCCTGCAGAGGAAATAAGACTTCTATACCACTTTGCTGACAGTATAAGAAAAGGGTAGATAAGAAAAGGAAGTCAATTGCAGAAAACACACATACCCTATTTATTCTAACTACCAGATACTTTATATGGCACACCCTTAATGTGTATCATTTAACTCTAAACAACTCTGCAAAGGTAAGCCTCATTTTAGAAATGAAGATACTAAGGCTCAGATTTAATAAACCACCAAAGATTGCTCCCTATTTGTTGGTGGAGCTAGAATCCAAATCTATGCCTACTTGACTCTAAAGCTCAGACTCTTCCTTCATTCCTCACACGAAGAGGAAAGGGAAAACTGCAGATGAATGCAGTCTTGGAGTGTTGCCTCTTAGAGCTGACTCCTGGGCTGTCTCAGCAGCTCTGCTCTCCACCATCATGCACAATACTTCTACACCATGAGAAGCACGCCCAGCAGAGCTCAGGAGGAGTCCTGTACAAATAGGGGTCACATAGCCACAAAGCACATCTCCATAAATCAACTCACTCATACATAACCTGGTCCACAAGGGGAGTTAAGGTTAAAAAAAAAAAAAAGATTTGTTCAAGCCAACTGCACCCCTGATTCCCCCCAGTCCAGTTTCTCTCTGATGCCACCCATTGGTGCTCATCGTGCTATTGAAGGTGGCTTCCACAATTACCTAAGGTCCAGCAAGACACTGTCCTCAGGAGTGGGATGCTGCTGTAGATGGCATGCATGTACATGAGGTGAGCCATCAGCTCAGCCAGTCCCCACCAGCAGAGCAGGCGGCCCAGGCCCTGGGCCAGGACACAAAGGTTGTCCCTCAGAGAACAGAGCTCCGGCTGCTGCACCTAAACAGAAATAACAGAGAAGAAGTATTAGATTGTTCCTCAATTCCTAAAGCCTTCAAATTGTCCCCTCTACAATGTCTTTTAACAAGCTTCTCATAAATTACCATTGCCATTTCTGGTAACAGAGGGTTGGGTTGGTTTTCCTTGGGAACACCCAACGTTCTTGGGTGAAAAGGTCATGTCTTGGTTGGAAAACAGCCCCAGAGTAAGTCTATAGCAGGGTCAACAAGTCGCCCTGGTGCCAGGAACCATGAAACTGCATCCCTCCCTTCCAACAGCAGCCCCAAAAAAACACATGCTGGAGGCAGCACTTTGGATGTCCTCACCCTTGAGACCCAGTGTCCCTTTGGGCACCAGGTGTCAGCCTGCCTGTCTCACCCATCACTAATTCACGTCTGAGACTGTTAACATTGGACTAAGTCAAGAAGGGGCATAGGACTGGGAAGGAAAAAGGATAATGGGACATGGAGCCTGAAAGTGAGAAAAAAAATTGAGTGTGTGTGTGTGTGTGTGTGTGTCATTCAATTTCAAGTTGTTTTTGAAACAAAGCAGAGCAAATACAAGAGGGACACATGTCTTGCTCAGCAGCAATGCACAGTGACTGAGAACATGGAGTCTTCGTCAGATGAAATCAGGATGAATTCTAGCATAAACCATGAAATTGTATGATCCCGAGTCTTGGTTTCTCAACTATAAAGTGAGACAGTTGTGATGAGGATAAATATGATAAAGTGTGTAAAGGACTGAGTACAGAGGTTGGCACATTAAAAGCGCTGGATAATTGGTGGCTCCTTGTGCCTCCTCTGCATTCTGTCTTCATGTTCTTCCATCGTGCTGTCCCACACGCCAGCTAAAGAGCAGCCACACACCAAAGATGACAGAGGGCTGTGTGATTGTTCATAGGGAAAACCACAAGTTAAGCACATCTTATCCAAAATGCCTGGAACCAGGCAGATTTCAGAATTTTTCAGATTTTGCAATATTTGCATAGACTCCATCAGTTGACCATCCCTAATCTGAAAATCTGCTCCACAGCTTTCAGATTTTGGAGCATTTCAGATTTTCAGATTAGGGATGCTCAACCTGTACTGAGAGTACACTATGTGTCAGAAATGTGGGCGAAAAACCAGCTCTGCAAAAGCAAACATGATCTCATACCCACTTATAAGTAGAACCTGCGTGTAATAGTCAACTACTCTATGGAACCCGGGGGAGGAAGGAAAGGATAAGAGAGGATAGGGAGACAATACAGAAATCCATTACATCTGTGCAGGTTGAATAATAATGGATAGGAGGGAAAGGAAAGGGAGAATATAGAGGGAGTTGAACAGACCAAAGTAAAGTATACTTGCAACAGGGATACATTGAGAAACCCCTTTGAACACTGACAACAAAAGATAAGACTGTAAAACAGGTATGGTGTGGGGGGATGGGTGAATGGAGGAGACGAAGGTGAGGGAATATGTTGATGGCTTTGTATAAATATATGAAATAGAGCAACGAAACCTCTTGCAATTGCTTTAAATGGGGCAGGAAGTTGGTTGAGGAGAGGAAATGGTGGGGGTGATCTAACCAATGTACAATGTAAGGCTATGTGGAATTGTCACAGTGAATTCCCCCATACAATGAATAGATGCTAATAAAAATGAAAAAGAAAACAGTTCTACCAAAGTACCCTGGCTGTATGGTCTCACCTCTCCACCTGTTGTATAGGCCAGGCACAATAATTTAAACATGCAGACTCTAGAACCATAAGCATTTCGTAAGAATTAAGGTAAAGTCAGCTTCAACTTTACACCACTAGATAAATACAAACCCAGAAAAATCAAGACAGCAGTATGGTTTCTGGATCTCCTACAGACAAGATTTAATTAGGCTGAGGGCTGCCTTGAAAGACAGGGGTAAAGGCAGGCTCAGGAGTGAAGCCAAACCAGCAAGCAACAGCTGGGAGAGCAAATGAAATTGACACTTAGGTAAGGTTCATGACACTAAATTAGAAAGGTCATTCCTGGGAGCAGGGGACTCAGAGTATAAAAGATAGGTTGTACGCAAAAGGGACAACCAGAGGACTTAGTTTTACTGTTTAAAAAAAAAATACCTCCTACCACTTTCTCAAACTATCCTACCATAAAAACCCATGCTAGGAAATTGTGGCTGGCTCTGCACGTCTACAGGTGAGCTGCAAAAGACTTTGCTATTTGCTGTCTGCTTAGTTAAGCCCTGGTGAGCTCATTGGCTTCAACTTTTTCATGTAAACTGAGAAAACCAACAAGAATTTCTTTTTTCCCTTAGATTCCCTCTGTTCTTCACAGAAACCAGCCTGCCTTGGTAGGAAACAAAGGTAACTGCTTGGAAGGATTCATCCAGCCAGGTTGACAGGGGAAGCTCTATTTGGGAAGGGTTCTCTAAGAAGGAAGAAGGAACTTGCTGGATATTTGCAGACTTAGTGAAGTGATCACAGGTAACTGCAACAACAGTTAACTGACGGTGACTCAATGCAGATCTTTGAGGATAGTTTTCATTTGCATCTTCACCTTCAATGCACATGCTCTGTGAGGCCATACAAAATCTATAGCAACGGACCCACAAACCAGCAGATCACTGCATCCTCAGTAAGATACATCTACCTGCCAGCTATGTTGTTTAAGAAAGAAAAAAGGAAACAACCAGAGTATCCAACAGTCAGAGGATGTTTAAATGTATGATGCACCTCAATACTACATAGCATGAAAACTGTTTTTGTTCAATAATGACAGGCTGGAAAACCATGCAAACGACAAGAATAGTCATCAGGAAGGTTTTGGTTATTTTTGACAATTAAAATGGATTATTTTACTGGAGGTATGGCTGAAACAGTAGAGCACCTACTTTGCAAGCTCAAAGCCCTGTTCCACCAAAAAAAAAAAAAAAAAGAAAAAAAGGAAGCCCATAAGCAACAATGCTATGTTTATAGATCCTTAGCTATGTACACATTTTGTCTTTCTTCATTCTTAACCTTTCTCTTAGCTCTTCAAAACAAATTAATTTTGACCCAATGACCATTAGCCAAAAAAAAGGAAAGGAAACAATTACAAAAATAGTGCTATAGTCTCAAGTGTTTGTGTCTCTCCAAAATTCTTATGTTGAAATCCTAACCCTCCACAGGGTATAGATGATATTAGGAAGTGGGGCCTGTAGGAGGTGATTAGATCATGAGGGCAGAGCCCTCAGAACTGCCATCAGTGTCCTTATAAGAGACCTTGGAGAGTGAGCTAGTTGGTTCGACCATGTGAGTACACAGAGAGAAGGTACCATTCTGTAAACCTGGAGATGGGTCCTCATCAGACGCCAAATAGATCCTGGGCTTCCCAGCCTATAGAAGTATGAAAATAAGCCACTCAGTATTTGTTATGGTGGCCTGAAGAGACTAAGATCCATGGTATCCATTAGTCTGTGAAAGATGAGGAGTTCACACAAAGGCAATTGACAAGGCGAAGACCTGAGCAGGCATTGAAATTATTCTAGATCAGTGGACAGGCCTTTCTTAGTGCCCCACTCTCTCACAGAAGTTGTCTGACTGAATGTGATAGAACCCTCAAAAGCAATGTTGACAGGAGATCAACTTCACATAACTAAATACCTCCAGTTTCTAAATAAGCAACCATGCACTTGATGTTTTGGCATACTTCAAGACCAGGTCCCCTGAAGACCAGACCTGCTCTGAGGCCTCAGAGCATCACCAATGTGTAGCTCCATCCCAGGGAGTAGAGACAACAGCTGGTTTGGAGTGGAGCCAGGATGAGGCCAAACAATAGCTCTGAAGGGCAATCAGGGGGGAAAAAAAAATCCCAGCTGCCTCTCAGCTACAAGCAATCACACTTCAAGGTCAATTCAGAAGCCCTCCTTACTCTTCCCAAACTGTGCACAGTCTAAAATGACACAAATACCTGTGATTAAGAGGAACCATGCACATTGTGGCTGATTGGTTTCCCAATAACTTACCTACTTCCCATAAACCAAACCTTCCCTAACAGGCTTAATTAAAGCCTAATTATATGTCCCTACAGGACCAAAGGGACTGGACTTCTCCCTAAATGAGTCCTTTTTGATACTGAATGTCATTCAGCATCAACTGAATATAGAAACTTTAACTGAGCAATGGTATTCAGGAAGCAGAAAGGCAGCATTTCAACTTTTCCTTCTATTTGCTTTTACCTTAAGAAAAATTATTTGTCTCTCTGTAAGGTTGTGTTATTACAGTCCACTTATGCCTACAATTTAATGGCCTCTCCTTTATTTAAATAAGTCAGCATTTGTCCCATGTGGACGCAGCAGGAAGAACAGACAGGCCACACAGAGTTCAGCTAATGAGCACGCTGCTTGCTCGTCTGCATGCAAAGTCTTACATCTGACGTATTCCCATCCTAGGGGACTGTCAACCTTAAGACCATTGGAAACTGCCATCATTGGCCGCTTAAGTTCAGATGCCCCCCCAAAAAAAAATTATATATATGTACACACACACACATATATACACATTTACTCATCTGCAAAGTGCATTTTAAAATGTATTATATTTTAAAACTTCATTTCATGCAAATTGCATAAAAGGGAATATGGAAGCCTTTCTCTCTCTTTCAAAGATATTCTGGTGATTGAAGGCCACAGTCCTCAAAGAGGACAGGTTCTTTTCCTGTTTATGTTTGAGAGCAGCAAACAAAGGTTTACCTACAGCCAATTACTACATTGGCACCCCCTGCCACTAACTGCCTGGCTTCTCTGTCTGTAGAGTCCAGGGTCCTGCTAGCCAGAGCCTTACTCCTTCAGAGAGGAGGTGATTGCTTTGTATTCTGGGGTCATAGACCACACTCCCTACCCGCAATGAATCATTCCCTAGTCAGGCCTTCATTGGCCTAGCCCAGTCATCCACACCAAGGCCAGTGACATATGCTGTCCTCTCTCAGACAGCCTGTGAGGCTTGCAGCTGCTCCTGTGCCACAGTCTGGCACCTGGTCCAGGCAGCTGGGGCCTCCAGATCTGCATGCCCACAAAGCAACACACACCCCTCTCTAATTCCTGTGGCAAGGCTTGCGTCTTATGAACCTCTCTTTGCCCCCATCTCTTCAGCAACTCATGGAGTGGTTTGAGGATTAAATGAGCTAGAACATATTATGCTGCCTTGCTGAAAGCGTTCAGTTAGTAGTAGCATTATAGTCAGCACTTAGTCCAGGTGCCGTCTAGAACCAGAGCCCACCTTAACAGAGCTTCTGGGACATCCAGCCCTTGGCAACTGCTCAGAGGCTTGGCCCATCCATGCTTACAGTGACTACCTGGGTCTCCATACAGATGGAACTACTGCACTGGCCTGTTCAGAGGCCAAGGACAGCTACTGCCCAACATCCCCTGCTTCTGTGCCCACCCACCAGGCTAAATACCCAAGGCCTCAGTTCTGACTTAAACTGACCCTGGAATTGCCCCTGGCTTTTGTCTAACAAAAACCAATAATAGCAATAATTAACACTTCAGAGTATTTTTGTGTCAAGCCACATTGTCCACATAAAACCATTTAACTCTCACAACAGTCCTGTGGGGGAGGAACTACTAAGTCTTCCCATTTTACAGATAAGAAAACTGAAGCACCAATAAGGAAATTCACCAAGCACTGTCAAGCTGAAGCAGAGGCAGGGATTCAAACCCAGGGAGCAGGACTGCAGAGCCTCTCCTCTCAACCTTCACGCATTTGCATTCTGGCTCTGTCCCCTGGGGTGGGAGCCCAACTCTTTGCAAGAAAGGTCCCCTGGCCTACCAGTCCTTTCCCAATCTATCATGCCAGGCAGTCCAACTGCTCAAAGGAAGATGCAGAGGCCCCAGGCTCCCAGCTAAGTAAGTAAGCACCAAGGCCTGCTCAGCCCTAGGCCCTCCTGCACCCATCCCCACCCCAACCCCTCGGCTGAGTATCTGAGTTCCCCAGAAGCATGGCAGAAAAAATAAACTGGAGCCTGAATTCCTGATACTCTAAGTGACATCAGAAATGGCTTCTAAGACCCTGTGGCTCTGAAATAGGTAAAATTTTTACCTGCTCTTAACTAGTAAGCACATATTTTATACACCTTAAATTACAGAGGATGCCTCTTCTTTACTTCCCTCATTTGGTATATGTAAATATGCTAAAAATGTGGGTGAAAGATGCATTTTCCAGGGATGAACCTCATCTCATTTTATCCTTTGGAGTCTGAAAATTCCCACCTGAACCGCGCTTTTTTTTCCCTCCTGGGTTGGTTTCCACAATGGGGCTCTTCTGCCCCCTGGTGGTAAAGCCTGGTTTTCCTGCTGTAGGTTGTTAAGTATTTACCTAACAACCTAAGAATGATCCATGAATTTCAGCATCACCACCCCTTGATATCTGAAAGCATTTCAAGCATTCATTCACTCATTCAGAGCAAATCTTGCCTGTAAGTTCTTCTGATTAGTTTTCCTCCTCCCCTTCCCAGCCTTTTTCTATTAGATTAGCTTAAATTTAACCCCTCCTATCTTACCACAGGAGGTGAGCAACTATAGAAACCTCCTGGCTCTTTAAAATTTGCCCTGTAGTTTACTGCACATTTTTCATTTTCTATACTGACCTTCCTATGAATATTCTCAGACCATAGATAAAGGTATTAATTTGCTTTTCCAAATTCCTTCTCTCAATTGCTACCATTTCGGAACGGGTTAAAAAAAGGGACAGGGAGCAGAGGGATAAGACCCAAAAGGAACCTAAGCCCCTCCAAGATGAAGCCACCCTCTTCTCCTCCCCAGACTGATGCTTAAGGAAATGAGAGCTCTTGGCTAAGGACTGAGGTATGCCATAATCTCAAAGCCCAGCCTGTATGGAACAGACACAGGGCCCTAGGAAAGGCCTCTAATACTCCCACTGGACAGTAAATGGCACAATTTGAAAGGAGAAGATGTGAAATAAAAAGAATGATGATTGTGCATCATAAAAAAATGTAGATCCCACATGGCAAACCTCCTGGTGGATAAGATGCAGTTAGGAAAACGTGCTTCCTCCTGATGGATTTAGTCTGTTTTGCTGAGAGTTACTATGTGTCCTCAGGAGGACAGGAATAGATGTTTAGTTCAAAAACAGCTGTCTAGAAAACTGGGAAGAATTCAAAATTCACAATGTCAAGGACATTGTAAAAGAGACAAAATGTGGAGGGTCTGAACCCAATCCTACCCTGTGCCTATCCCCATTCTACCCACTCCTCGGAGGAACCCAGGAGAGTAGTTGTAGGCCTCTAGCATACAGCAGAATTACCTCAGGACCTGATAAATCCTATTAACCATCCCACCCCAGAGGTTCTGGTTCAGTCCCGAGGCCTGGGCAAGACCTGAGAATCTGCATGTCACTAGGTCTGCCGGTCCAGGGCCCACACTTTGAGAACCACTCAGTGAAACCAGCAGCCATCACTAGCTTACCTCTGTCTTTTACACAACAATTTAAAGCACAATTTCAAATGCAAATCTGAAATTACTTCATGACGAAAGAATGATCCTATGGAAGTGTAAGAAACCCTATGCTATACCTATGTTGGCCCAGAATATCAATTTCACTTAAAGATTTTTAGAGAGTAAAAATACACATGTTTTCACTAGAACTTTAGAACATTATAACATTATATTATAATGCAAAAATATACTTTTGGATGCAGTGTATGACCTGGTGGAATTTTTAAATAAAAAATTGATCCCTAAGAGCCCTCCTTTCCAGGGGGGGCATCTTTTCCTTAAAATTTTTTATTAGCAGAAGTTAATTAAGCAAAGAGATTATTTGATATTTATGATATGGATATAATATACTTTGATCAAATTCACGCCATCTGAATTATTCTTTCTTAACCACCTTCTCTCCTCCCCTTTCTTTTTTAACAGTTTTTGGTGGGTCTCATTGTGCTGTTTTCATACATATATATAATGTACTTCTAGAACATCCTCCACCACGAGCACCACTCCCAGTCCCCACCACTGTCACCCTCTCCTTTTTCCCATCCTCTTGCCAATTGGTTCCCCCTCACTACTCCCCAAGCAATCCCTTAGTAGCACTGCTGCTGGTTCTAGGCTTTACTGTGCTTCCAGGCATGGCATACATGTGTGTATTATACATGTACATGTATGTGTGTACACATATATTTTGTGTCTGTACACGTTATCCTCTTTTCCAAGATTGTTTTGCTTGGGGTGGGGGGAAGTAGAAATTTCCCTTGGGAGCCACTTTTTTCAGTAGTAGTCATTACTAACACACGAGGTAAATTAACTTAAACTTGGTGTGGGTTAAGGGAGGGCAGGAGAGGGAGAGAGAGAATAAGTAGGGGGCAACTCTATTGGGAAGGACAAAAGTGGTTTAACCTGGCATCTCAGATAAGAATGCTACCCCAAGAAGGCAGGGAAGATTTGAGTGTACTTTCAGGCAGCCAAACCTCAAAATGTACCATTGCCTTTGAACTCTCTTCAACTCCACTCCATTCTCTCACTCAGGTCTCAACCATCCCTGGGCTATGGCAGGGCTATTTCATAATTAGTTCATGAATATGAAAGGAAACAGTATTACCAAGCAACAAAGAATGTTGACAGTTTCTCTTCCTACTTTTTCAAGTGATACTATCATAATCAATAACTTCCTCCTTCCCTGGGACTTCACTAAGTGGATATCAACTCCCAAGTCAACACTGTGCCCAGTTATGAATGCTGGTGGCCACAGGGCACCAAGAGACAGCTCAACCTTTGCTACTGAAGGCTCATTCCCCTGGTGTACTTCACCTATTATGTAAAAACTTGAGTCAGCTAAGGTGTGTACTTAAAATCTGTGGTGCACCTGAGTAGAAAGACTACAGAGATGAGCACAGAAACAGACTCAGGCTTCATCTACAGAACTCCAAACCAGTGGCCAGCAGGCTCTACCTGTTTGATGAACTCTGGAAAGCTGAGGATGGGCCCATTGTGGAAGACAGGATAATAGAAGATATAAGCCAGCATCCAGGGAAAGGAGTAGGAGGCTCTTGAGGCAGGCAGCTGCTGCCAGCAGAACTCAAGGCTGAAGCTGGTGTAGTAAAGGCAGCGAACAGTCAGTGTGAACTGTAGCAAGTAGTACTCATTTTCCGTCTTGTACCACTTCCTCTGCAAAAGCAAAAGGAAAGAACCTGTGAGCGGCCAGGAGATCCCGATACAGGAGCAGGCTGGCACAGCCATCTCTAAGCCTAGGGGGAGATGGATGCCTTGGGGAGAGCAGCTGAACTGTAAAGGGAGATGAGAACCAATGAACAGCAAGTACCTCCCACTGGTAATCAAAGTAAGCAGTTAGGGCTGGGCTGTAGCTCAGTGGGAGAGGATATGTTTAGTGTGCCCGAGGCCCTGGGTTCACTCCCCAGTGCCACAGCACCAAAATAAACAAAAGCAAAGCAAACAGTCAATGAACAATAGGGAAGAGAACATCTCTAATAGCAACCATAAACTTCCTAATGGGTCTTGAAACAGGAGTTTTGGATCTAAGGCCCACATTCCTGAGATTCCACGTGCCAGGTCCAGCCACCCACCCCTAAACGCCAAATAAAGAGGCATGGTGAAGGCAAAAAAAGGAGGTTTATTACACAGCATGGGACATGCTGTGGGAAAAGGCAGAGTAAGCACTCAGCCCATCTTCAGCCATCTTTGGGGTACAGACATGAGCTATCAGTTTAAGTAGAGAAAAGAATTGGGAACAGGGAACAAAGGTACGCATAGTTAAACAGTCCCAGGCACAGGTGTGTTCTGCTTGACCGTTACTTCAGTCTGAGGGTTCCCGAAGGGGTTCCAGAGAAGATGTTATGGCTGTCATCACTTGAGAGGAGCAATCTGGTCTCTATGAGATGAATGCTCCTGCTCCAGGGTGCAGCCTCATCATTACAGGTAATTGTCCTCATTTGGAGGGGTGGTCTGTCCTGCTAGTTTCCACTGTTCCTTATGGGGAGTTCCAGTCCCTTGTCATAAAAATGTTATCTGCTCTGTCCTTTCTGGAATCCAAGAGGATTGATTGCAAAGTAACTGCAAAGAGTAATGGCTTAGAGCAAAGACAGATACAAAATGAAGGCAGGGATGCTAAGCTTCTCCTGTCTTTACTTAATCTGTAAATCCAGATAAGAAGTAAATGCTTTTCAGCAGAAGCAGTTTAAGTACCTCTTACACTCTGACCCGTCTAATGAAGGCTTTTCTGACTCTGCATCTGTGAGATACACCCAGTAGATAAGATGGAGGCAAACTGCATCCAATGATACTTTGACAGCTCCTTCAAAAATTCTGATGACTAAAGGGGGTCTGTAATGACACATGGGATTTATGTCTTCAGTATAATTTTCTTCTTGCTCTTCTGTTATTAATTTGGCTCCACTTCAGTTGAATACTAAGTTAATCACACTTCTGAGACGGAGGCCTCTGAAATAAAAGGCTTATCGAGCTGTTACAGTTATTAATCAAAAGTAAAAAAGGACCAATCCTGGGACAAGTTCCCTGAGACCAGCAGCATGGCAGGAATCACATATGAAGAAAGAGCTACAGGAGAGGCCGGACAACAGCAGCGCTGCCAAAGTCCTCAAACAGGTGGTTTGTCCAAAAGAGAAGTTTTTACTGCTTCTTGGTTGGTTGTTCTAAAGCAGTATGTGAGGTCACTTCAATGGCTTATCTTCAACATACCAGGCAGGAATATAAAGCAGTTTGTTTTTTTCTTTAGTTGATTTATCTTGAAGCTGTCAGTTAAATAAACTCTTATTATTTCTTTCCTGCCTCCATTCTTTGGCCTGTAACTGATGACATTGGCTTTTGAGACTCACATTCAAAAGAAATAGTCCCTTCCCTTGATATGTGTAAATTCCCATACAGAGGATAAGGGTATAAAAATGCCACTCCATATAACATGAAACAAGTAACACATGTACAAAACAAGTTCATGAAACAGAAGAGGAGAAGGGAGTGTAGTAAAGTGTTAATACCAGAAAAAGTAAAATCATGGATCATCTTATAGCCATCTTTTTAAAATTTTTTCCATATTTTATACAGTGTTGTATTCTTTTCCCTAATGAAAAGATATTTATGAAAGCATTTTCAAGATACAGAAGTAGGTTGAAGAAAGGAGTGGTTAATTTGGTTTGTGAGATTATTTTTTAAGGCTGCACAAAGAAAACCTAACCACTGAAGAGTTTCTACTCCATGTCCAGGACTCTTGCAGCCACCAGCAGAGAAGAGGATACTCAGATCGAAAGAACCACATGTGCAAAAGCAAGGAAATCCAACCAGTTTCTGGTCATTTGCTTCCCCTTCCAAAATGTTTTCCAAACCACCATGAAATATGCGTGACAAATGAACAGTTACCAACATCCATAATGTATGCTGATTGTCCCGAGGAAATGATAAACACAATTAGATTCTATTTTGTACACTTGCCTAGTGCCCAAAAAGTTAAATATGAATTTATTTTGGTTACATATCCATTTTCAAACACATGTGTTTAAATAAATGCCTGGCTAATCATTCTGGAAAGTTAAGCATCTTTTGTCAAGATAGAGCCGCTCCCTAAATCCAAATTCTGACACATGTACTTAATGTATTAGCCCTAGTCCCTTGGTGAGAGTGCAGAAAATTAAGATAGCCTAACAACATTAAAAAAAAAAAACCTGAACTTTCAAAACAGTACAATGGTTACACCAGTTAATGTAAATTGTCTTGTAGAATAGGTTGTTCAACCCTCAGAACAAGATTCTTAAGAAGGCATGCCAGCTATTACTTCCATTTCCAAATGATGAACTTGAGGCTGAGGTTAAATGACTGCCTCCTGCTTCAAGAATAGGAAGAGACAGTGACTAGAAGAAACCAAAAGCCAGGTTGTATGGCTTTCTTTCCCATTACTGTGCTGATCCAGGTCACACCAGGTCTAAGTGTAGTCACCTGGATCTGTAAGTGAGTGAACAAAAAAATAAGTAAAGACATCATTGTGTGAGGGGAACAAATGGCGGAGATGGAAAACAGGCTCCTCAAGGAAGAAACACAGCAAACTTCCCCCAAAAATAGCAAAAGGGAGTTAAAAACATACACGTAGGTCTCACCAAGATAACAAGAGGCAGTCATAAAATGTCTATGACATGCCTAAAGGACAGGACAGACTAACAAGACCCCCCTGGAATGTCCAGTTTGATAAGGATGGGGGTAGGGCAGCCAAATGGTTGGGTTCAGTAAGAAGTTAATTAGATGACATCCTGTCACAACTGTAGCTTCAAAGTAGAGAGAGCCTAAGCCAGGCAGAGTGCTGTATTATCCCCTAGACTTCAACTACCTATGGGTTAGCTCTCTCAATAAGTCCCACCCACCAGGGAGCTTTGCTATCCATTCAATAAACTTTGTGCTTGCTTTAACTCTTAATTCCTGGTCCGGCATCCTCAGTCATCGACTTCGCCAAGGCACGAACTCAGGATCAATGATACAATATCAATTGGAGTTTCAGACCCGCAGAGATTGAAGGGAAGACATCAAAACTTCCCAAGATTTTCTGTGCAAGGAATGTTAATGTATGAAGTTATCATATAAGAGAGACAGAAAAATCAATCAGTTGATGTCATAAACCATTCAGCGCTATTATCCCCAACAACAGGAAAACTGTGAAAGTGACCAGTGTCCCATGAAGCTTTGTAGGATACTGCTTACACCTGTTTAAAAAAAAAAAATCCTTAGACTGATTAATTTACAGTATTTATTTGCACAAACAAGAACAAAACAAAAAGCAACTCACAAATTGGACCACTCCCAGAACCAGAGCAGGTTCTGAGAACTCAGCCAATAATACAAGATCAGACAGAAAACAATTTAATTGGCTACAACCTAATCAAGCAGTCAATTGTTTACAGCTTAAGTAGTTAATTGTTTACAGCTTAATTAGTTAATTGCCTGCAGGGCCTTCTGCAACCTAGAAAAATTCAGTGATTAAACTCTGTATTGGTTCAGTCTGTTGGGCCCAGTCCAAATCCATGGCCTCCCATGAATCTTATTTAGCACACACACCCCTTCCTCTAACCCCATATCATCTCCACAGACACACTTACTCCATGGGCAGCCATCTTGCAGAGAACCAGTCTGGATGGCATCCTCTACTCAGGGGCCTAAGAACACTGTCCTTCCTCTGAAAGCTTATATTCTCATCCACACTACAGGATTTATGAACTACCTAATCAAGGCAAGCAGTGGATAGTCATGTCACATCACATAAAGAGACCAGGAACAGTCCACAGCACAGAGCCCCACACCACTCTCTGGACTCAGAGAAAGAAAAAAACAACCCGGCAGGAGCAGGAAAACATTTTTATAAAGACATGAAATAGATTTAATAGGCTATAGTTTGGACAGGCATGGTGGTACACACCTGTAATCCCATCATTTGGGAGGCTGAGACAGGATGATCAAGAGTTCCAGGCTACCTAGGCTACATAGTGAGACCCAGTTTCAAAAAAATTTTTTACAAAGAAGCTGCATTTTGACGGAGACAAGAGAATCAGGTGGATGAGGATGAGGGGAAAGAGAAGCAGATTCACGTGACTCTAATAACACCTCCAATCCCACAGAGGCAGTGTCTGACAACCAGGGTCTGGCAGAAGAGGAGGAAGCAAGGAAGATGACAACAGTGGGTCCTACCCTGGGCACGTGGTCCCTGATGTTTTCAGAGTTGGAACTCTCTTGGGCTGGTTGTTGTCAAGTTGACCTTGAAACTGAAGGGTTCTAATGCCCAGAGCCCTGGACCACTCACACAGGAGCAGGGTCCCTGGCCTCTGTCAGTCTGCATTTCTCCCCCAAGGACAGCTCCCACCTCTGAATGTCTGAGAACTCCAAACAGACACTCTTCTTCTCTGTGGCCACAGATCTGCTGGCTTCCCTGGCAACAGTCCTGGATGACAAGCCTGAATTTCTGACTTTAAAATGTAAAGGGTATGACCAACAGATGGGTGAGACTGGAAAGCAACAGAGACAACCCAGAGGCCCCACCCAGACCTCAATTTGCACAAGCAGTGCTAAATCATCCAAGTTACCAATGGGAGCACAGACAGTCCAGAGCGGTCCAGGGGATACTGCACCCTGCCAAGGAGGTGACTTGGTCGGGGAGGGGAATACTCAACAGGAACCAGCAGAGTCACTGGTGGTGCAGTCAGCTCAGCAAGGCACACAGACTCCCACACTCAGGATGCCAGCTCTCTGCCAGCCAGCATCCCCTAGGGCCAAATCTGGTGTCTACACACAGAATAAAAATGCTCTACCACTGTGACTAAGAATAAATAAAAGCTAAAAAGGTAAGTTCTGTAAAAGAAAGATTTACTGATGCAAAAAAAAATCCATATAAATTTTATGCAGCCATGAAGAAGAACGAAATGTTATCATTCGCTGGTAAATGGATGGAATTGGAGAACATCATTCTGAGTGAGGTTAGCCTGGCTCAAAAAACCAAAAATCATATGTTCTCCCTCATATGTGGACATTAGATCAAGGGCAAACACAAGGGGATTGGACTATGAGCACATGATAAAAGCGAGAGCACACAAGGGAGGGGTGAGGATAGGTAAGACACCTAAAAAACTAGCTAGCATTTGTTGCCCTTAACGCAGAGAAACTAAAGCAGATACCTTAAAGCAACTGAGGCCAATAGGAAAAGGGGAACAGGTACTAGAGAAAAGGTTAGATCAAAAAGAATTAACCTAGAAGGTAACACCCACGCACAGGAAATCAATGTGAGTCAATGCCCTGTATAGCTATCCTTATCTCAACCAGCAAAAACCCTTGTTCCTTCCTATTATGGCTTATACTCTCTCTACAACAAAATTAGAGATAAGGGCAAAATAGTTTCTGCTGGGTATTGACGGGGGGAGAGGGAGGGGGCGGAGTGGGTGGTAAGGGAGGGGGTGGGAGCAGGGGGGAGAAATGAACCAAGCCTTGTATGCACATATGAATAATAAAAGAAAAATGAAAAAAAAAATCCATATAGAAGTGGGGTCTGGCCCAATGTTCTCCTCCCTTAGCACTAACACAACTGATTTGTAGTTGAGTCTGTCAAGAAGCCATCCCATTCACAAAAAAAAAAGGTAAGGTTGGTCTGTGCTCTTTGGCCAAAACACATTGTTTTCACTTTATAACACAAAGAGCATCCTTATTATCTATATCAGTAGATAATGAGTAAATCTGTTTAATCAGCTAAGAGAATAAAAAATGCTCATCTTACTGGCCTCAGAGTCATTGTGAGCATTGAATGATACAAGGAATGTGACCAAAACATCCCCAAACTTGTAGAGCACTTGATAATTTTAATTAAATACCTAGGGAACAATTTCATTTCTTTTAACTTTGTTTTTGACCTCTGGTCCTATGACATCTAGCACCCTCCCTGCCTACCCAAACTGGGAGAAAAGTTAACATGATCACTCCTGGGCAACCTCATAGGGCTCAGACATAGAATAAAAGACAAGAATGCAGAATCCAACAGTAGGGCCCCCAGGTATCAACCTGTATGGCCACTAAGGGGAGCCCCATCAAGGAGCTAAACTCTTTCTGGGTCTGAAAACAAAAGTATCTTCTATAATCAGGGAAAAGTCCAAGGTGCCTTCCCCTTCCCAGTTGTAAGACATGTAGGAGCAAGACACTTACCTTAACTTCCTCCACACCTTGCAGCCTCATGGTGGAGAGCAGGAGGAGAGAACAGAGCCATGACAGGAGCAGCGACCGGAACTGGGCCACACAGAAGGCGATGATGGAATGGAGGAAAACCATGGCCACACCTGGGGCCCCCAGCACATACCAGCAGGCCCACATTCCATAGACCATGAGAATCCAGGGTCTGTGCTGCAGACAGGGAAGGCCCAGTGAGAGGGACACAGAGAGGGAGGAGAGAGGGAGAAAAAGGTGAGCTCATGAGCACTGCTATCAAAGCTTCTACATAGAAGAGGATAGTCTTTACTAACCCAGTAAGCAAAACTTGTCCTCACTGCCCTGGACATTTAGATGGACTTTCCACCTTCATCCCCAGAATCCCACTAGATCCACCCAAAGGCAACTAACCAATTTCCTGCCTTCAACCAAAGCCACACAAACCACTGGAACCCACAGACATGAGATATTCCACTGACTATTCAACAGACATTATGGAAGCTGGAGGCTAATGGAAACTGTCAATCTGGAAGACCATACCCTGCAGATCCCATCCTGCGGCGATGAAGGCAAAAGAAAGTTTCAGTGCACAATTCTAGGAAGGCTTTCTGAAGTCTAGACCAGAGACTTAAAATTAAATCTCTAATTATATTTTTTTGCATACTGCTTACAGTCAAATTTACATCACAGAAAGATTGTATCTTACCAGCTTTCTGTGATGGTGAAGAATTTAGGTAACCAATCTGACTGATAGATTTTTTTGGCCCATTTTAAGAAAATTAGAATGTTTTTCAATTTAATTATCAAGTAATTTATAGTTTTCTGATGAATAACTAAATAGATGAATTAACATTGAGGCAGGATAGATAGATAAGGCAACAGGTAAATTTTAAATTATATTAAAATGACCAAACTCAAACACTAAAACAGAAACAGGAAGTAAAAACTAAAAACTCAAATCATGAAGTTCCTCTCCCATCACCTTCTCCTTTTAAATGTTAAGTTACAAGAATAGGGAGACATACAGGAGCTATCTGTATCTGTCTTCTTTTATATGCTAACAAACTTCAAACTTAATAGGTAAAGAGACAGAAAATTAAAGGGCATTCATGCACATATTATCCCCATGTTTTGGGTAAGCCGAGACTCCATTTCCATGTTTCAGAACAAGACCCAGCTTGGCCATATTTTGGGTAATATACTCACTCTGAACCCATTGTCTCTAATGATCATGGATGGCTAGAAACATGACCACATGTAATCCAACAGCTCAGAAAGTATAAACACCCCAAATAAGAACAGTCATTTGCGTCTTCTTCACTCCCATTTCCTTAATGAGAATCAGGAAGTATTTCACTCTCCCTTCCCTGTTTCTCCTTTCTTTATCCTGTTTTACTAAAATAAACCCTTACTAATAAGAAAATGTAAAAAAAAAAAAAAAGAGTTTAGCATTTATTACTTGCACAGGGGGTTTATTGTGGCATTCCCTTAATGAACAATGTGACCTCCAATTCTTCATATATAAAATTCAGGTGTAAATAGCATCTAATTCACAAGGTTGTAAGGCAGAAATAAGCCATGCCTATGAAGCACTTAGAACAGGATCAGCACACATAGGTAGGACTCCTGAAACACCAGTTGCTATCCTTAAGGAAACACGATGGCTCGTATTTTAGAATACGGTTACACAGAGCTAGAAAGTGGGGACTGGCTGAATGCAGGTCTTCTTGTGAAAAGAAGAGTTCTTACGGGGAAAGACAGATGTGGAGTGCAAATTGTAAATCCCATCCTTAGATGGGATTAAACTCTTCCAAAATATTGCTCAAGTACCATTCTGTCCCAAACCTATACTCCAGCCCAAGAGAACATTTTAAATGTGAGACTAGGTCAGCCGCTTTTAAGTTCCAAGAAAACCAGAAAAATTTGAAGTTCATTTGCACTGTTTCCACCCTGCAGCCCACAGAAAACGGTCACATAAATTTGTTTCACACCCCCCCCCCACCAAACCCCACTCAACCTCTGGGCAGAGTCCAATTTTCAAGAACAAGGTTGCCAAAGACTATTTTAAGACATAGTTTTAACAAATGGAAAAAAAAGAAGGTTCTTTTTTAACCCGACCTACAGCATTTACTGCTGGGATTCTTTTCCATGCATGCGTGGCTGCGTACATATGTGTATGCGTATCCACAGCTACGCTTTTATTAAGTGCTACTTGATCCATTTGGAAAAAGCCTGTTTGCTGGGATTCACTTGAAACTTACCACAGACTTCAACTTGGAAAAAGCTGGAAGAACTTTTAGGAAATACTTAATAGTGCTGTGTAAACCCCATCTGACTTGAGACTGATGAGCTTAACAGTGATCTCAAAAGCCACCTGGGGTGCAGACACTTGTGTCCCATATTCTCAGTCCCCACTGTCTTGCCAAATAGTACAGGCAGACAGCACTGAATACAGTCCTAAAACATCACAGAAAATGTCCTCGTGGTAACTGTATGCTTTCCACTAACCTTAATACTAGCCAGCGACTCTTCCCCACTGAGCATGGGCAACTCTACTATGTACAATCATGGCAGAGAGGAAGTGAAAAGATTTGAATAGTGCAAAAAGAATTACCTATACAAAACTGCTATACTAATCAGAGCCCCACTAAAATACAAGTTTTCATACTTCATCTATACAGATTTTTGGAATCCTATCCCCAAAACACCATTAAAAAACATCATCCCCAACACCTGCCCCAGCCACTCTTCTCCCACACAGGTCAAGAACTAGAAGCAGCAGTACAGAGAGGGGTCAGGGAATGTCAGAGTGACACTGCCAGCTGCTCATGGCCATCCTGTGTGGCCTTCTACTCTGGGTAGCATGGGAGCGTATTCCAAGTGTTTGCAAGACCAGTGTCACCTGCAGAGACCTAAAGGCAGCCCTTCCCTTCTCCAAATGTGGTGATGTATTCATCAAACATTTGTCTACCTCTAAACTGAAAATGTTTAAACATCAGTACTAAGACTCTAAGATGAAATAAGCCAGAAATTTTTCAACTTTTCAAAAATGAAGGTATGTCATGTTTTATTCCAAAACAATATTTCTGACACACTAAAGTGGTTTTAAGTTTTTTTTCCCCACAAGTTCTTAGGGTGACCTGAATGAATATACAGTGTTTTGGTCACACACATATTCTATGTCAAACTCAAGTTTTTAAAACCCACTTAGAAGTCAAAGTAGCCCAATTACTTTAAATTAAGAGGTTCATATCATGACTGTGATCAGTAATTACTGATCACTAGAAAAGATGGCACGAAGAGTCAGATTGATCAAGTATACAAAGAAAACATGATCTAAGTTAGTGCTGGGTTTGAAATTTTAATTAGGTACCATTTTTATACAATGTTCTACTAATTGGGATTTTTATTGAGATAATTCATATGCAACTGTTAGCAATACAGAGGGATGCCTTGCATATTTTACCCAGTTTCCTCCAGTGGTAGCATTTTGCAAAACCACAGTATGCTATTGATTTGCTCCAGTTAACCAAACTTACTCAGATTTGCCCGGTGTTCCTTACACTCATACATATGTGTATATGGACTGCTATGCAATTTTATCATGTGTATAGGTTCAGAATCCACCACAGTGAAGACGCAGAACATCACCCCAATGATCCTTTACACTGCCCTTCTACTCATTCCAATGACTCCCATCTCTAGCCCCCAGCAACCACTTACCTCTTCATTTATAAGAGCTTATCATTTCTAAAATCAAACAGTTATACAACCTTGAGGATTTGCCTTTGTCCCGCTCAGCATAATTCCCTGGAGATTCATCCAAGTTGCTATGGATAGCAAAGATTTCTACCTTTTATTGCTGAGCTTTCTAGGGTATGGCTGGACCATAGTGTGCTTAACCATTCACCAGCTGAAGGACTTCTAGGCTGTTTTCAGTTTGGGGCTATGACAAATAAAACTGATATAAACATCTATATGCAGGCTTTGATGTAAAAATCACTTTACATTCTCTGGGATGACTGCCCAAGAGAGCACTTGCTGGCTGGCAAGGTCACTGCACGTGTAGTTCCATATTAAACTGCCAAACAGTTTTCCAGCATGACCTGTCATTGTCCGTTCCCACCAGCAATGTTCAATGAGTGATCTGGTTTGTCTGCATCTTTGTAAGCCTTTGGTGCTTAATCTGGGCCATTCTGGAAAGTGTATAGTGTTATCTCATTGTGATCTTAATGTGAATTTACAATGCTCTTGTAATGAGTAGAAAAGCTTGGGATGGGCTGAAAGAACTTTGCTGGATCCCAGCATGACATCCTCCCCCACTTAATTCTCTTGATTCCAGGTTTGGCAATATCTAATAGATGAAAAAGAATGCAGGGCAAGAAGGCAAACTTTCAAAAGTCTAGGACACAGTGAGAAAGAAACTACACTATTTTTGTGACACTGGAGATAAAGCCAGACTCAGAACATCCTGGGCTTTCTGATGGGATGCAGTGTTCACAGCACCAGAGTTAACCAGGCGAGCACCCTCCTTTAACTCCTCTGCTCTGTGTTGACACTGAACCGCTTCTCAAAATATATCGCAACTGAACACCTAGTAGTCTCCCTCAGCAAGCTAAGATCAAACCCTCTCTTGTTCATATTATAGTAACATAAGCCTAGAATTTAGAATAGCACCTAGCATATATTGTGCTTCATAAATACTGGATGGATGGACAGGTGGTTGGGAGGGAGACACTGAAGGATGTGGGTAAATGGGTAGGTGAGTGGATGGGTGGACAGGTAGTTGTGTAGGTAGATGAACGGGTAGATGGATAAGTTTCCCCACGTCTTGGGATTCAACCTCGTTGTTATGACTAAGAATAAATTAGCATCAAAATTTGGTGCTTTTTAACTCACTAATGTGAAAATATCTTCCAAATCTACTTATTCTGACTTACCCCCTAGAAACAAAGACTTCTCTGCTAATACAGATAAAATAGAAACTTGTCATTTCTGTTTTTACTGCCTGCAACCTGTTTCTACTTCACAGAGGTCTCTCTCAGCTCTACTTATGTTGTTAGCCATAGATGAACACAGGTACCAACCTATGAGGGCAGACATCTGTAACAGAACCCACTGTCTCTCATTCCAGTCATGTCTCCTGGGACAGTAACCAATGGAGCTGGTCTTGTTCCAAGGCTAGAATCAGAGTCCCCAAAGCAAGCCTGTAAACTTTCCCTCCTTTCCTTTGAAATCTATATTCTTCAAATCTCCTTCCCAGGGAGTCAGAACCCCAGAACCCAGCCACAGGAAAAACTGGCTGACACTGCCCCTTCTCTCACCATCTCTACTTCTCTCCAACTTCAGCTCATCCTGTGCTGTGGACGCCAAGTGATATTAGGATGTGCCTGAGTGAATCCCATCATTAGCTTATCTCTGCAGGGAGAAGCAAAAGCATAAAACCTTGGTCAGGGCTCCTGCTGGCTATAGTATCAGGCTGCTGTGTATTAATTCCTTTTTGCACATCTGCCAAGGAACCACTCAGCAGAAGCATTGCTTGATTCTTTAGTTCTCAATCAATATTCTTACGCATGGTGGTGTTTATTACATACTACATAATCAATTATAGCTCCCGCTGAAATATATTATACACAATATACATATATTATACATAAGAATATATATGCATACATATATTATGTATTATATGTGTGTGTGTGCGTGTGTGTATGCACACGTATACCCCAAACAGATAAAAAAATCCAGTCTACCCCAAACAACAGCATTCTTGCCAGCTTTTTCTGGGAACAAAGGTCAATGGTCCCATATCAAAGGAATTCACCTCATTAGGCAGACACTGGTGAAGAGAAAACAGGTTCTTAGGTGTATGGATTTGACACTTTGCTGGGAGTGCCTATTCCCATGGCCTTCCAGAGCTAACACCATGGGACCAGGTTTCCCAGCCCTCTGCATATCCTGTGGTGGGGAGCTGAGCTGTAGGGTCTGGTGCTAACGATGCGAGTTCTCCAGCCACGGGTACAGTGAAAATGGCTCTGTGGTCAGCAGCAGCAACCACTCTCAGCCCCCAGAACAAGCCAGTCTTCTCAAAAGTTCACACAGGGGTATTTTTAGTTCTGAGGGCAGAGAACACAGTGTCTCAGGTGGCAGGGAGGCCACAGAGGTGTTCGAGAAAGGAGGCAACTGTGACCCACACCCACACAGTCCAATCATAACAAACCTAACGGCCAAAGCTCAGGACCATTTACTCAGCCTCTCCTCCCGGGCACTGGTTCTTCATACAGTCGCCAAAACCCAAAGAAAGAGCCCTACCCAGAGGAAAGGCATTGAACCTCCACCAAGGAGCTCAGCGGAAAGTTTTATTACTTGTCATGACCCCCCACACACCAAAAAGAAAAAAAAAAGAAGAAAGAAGAGGAGGAAAGAAATCTTATGCTTTTGAAAGTAGCCTGCCTTTCAGTGGAAGTAGGTGGGGAGACTGAAGGAAGAGCTGAGCTTAAATCTTAGATGGAGTTGGGTAGTATCCTTCAAGGATTATGGTTGTCACAGCAAGAACTGCTAATGCCTGTCACTTCACAGCATTGCTCATGGTTTATGATGCCTCAGAGGATAGGGAAATACAAGACAAATGCAGCCCAAATCTTCCACCCTGAATAAGTACGAAAAACAACTACCCAAATTAAAGCCATCTGGAACACTTAGTCCAGGTGCTGAAAGGCCACAGCTAATGAGGCCAGAGCTGTGGTTTAGACTTACATGAGGGCCAAGCGGAGTCAGACAAAGAAAGCACTATGTCTAGCCGCAAGCAGGTCCCTGCCCACCAGCTGTCTCACAAATCAAGCCTGTGGTCCCACAGGGGATGAGACACACACAGGAAGAGATGACTCAGTGCTCACTCTGCCTCATTCCAAGAAAAATGCAAAGAACACCTCCTACTGACACCGGAAAGTCACATTCTGCAGATAAAAAGACAAGTCCACATGTCCACCCATGCCCGATACCAAGATACAAGAATCCAAATAAGTGAATTCCATTTCCTTCAAGCTGTAGGTCCAAAGCCATCTCCTTGGGGGCCTTCCCTACACCAGAATGACCAATTTGAAGTATCCCTTGTTTTAGATGCCCAGTTCAGCTGGCCCAGCCCACCACATCAGGTATAACAGTGATCCGTATCAGGTTTCCCCTCTAACTTCTTGTCCAACTGTGATTCCCCAGGAGAGGGGCTCCGTCTCCTAATCCCTTCTCCCAGAAGCAGCTCGAAATAGGTTCATTAAAAAAAAAAAAAAAAAGACATTCATAGGCGGACTGCTGTGTAGATGACCAGACATGGCCTCTGTCCCTAAAGAATTTGGAATCTAAAGATAGTCATCTCCTTTCTTAAACACCACAAAAGCCAATGCTCCCAGGAGCAAATACCAGCAGCCACCAGGCTACTTTCATCACATGATAGCATAAACCTGAAAGACACTGCCTATCAGACGCTCTCCACAATCCCAAGAAGCCAGGGTAGCATCCCCGTTGCATAACTGAGGATGCAAGCTCAAAGACATGAAATAATTCACCTGAATTTACAGACCTTGAGTACAGCGAAGCTACGATTCACCCATTGTGCTCTTAAATACTGTCAGCCCTCCATATTCAAAGCTTCTTCATCCACGGATTCAACGGACATGGGATATTAAAAATTTAGAAAAAATGTCTAAATACAGAAAAAAAATGTCTGTACATGTTTAGTACAGACATTTTTGCTTAGCATTCTCTAAACAGTATCTTAGCATTCCCTAAACCTGTCTGCATAGCATCTATATTGCATTAGGTATTATAAGCATTCCATAGCTGATTAAAGTATACGGGAGGATGTGTTTAGGTTATATGCAAAGACTACATAATTTTATATAGGAACTTGAGCATCTGTGCATTTTGGTATCCTCGGGGATCCTGGAACCAGTCCTCCTGAGGAGCCATAGTAATGCCCTCTAGGACAAAAGGAGCCTGAACTTGAAATTACAAGCAAATTAAATTAAGAGAAGCCATCTCTAAAACATAGCAGTTATCTCATTTTTACGTTATAGTTTTGCACGTGTGATGTACCACTTAGTTCCTACACTTCTGAGTTTTCTATACATGGAATCACATCTGATTATTTCTCTGCAACCTGCTGTACTAGCTCACTGTCATGTGTTAATAATTATGGCTATAATTCACTCTCTTTCATGAAATTCTATAAATTCACATAATTCATCTATTTCTTCATAATGGGCATTTGGATTGCTTCTGGCTCTTTACAAACACCACTGCAATGAACAATCTGGCTTATGTCCCCTGGTTGGCAGAAGAGAGTCTCCAGGATTAGCACTGGTAGCTGTGGGTAGGTGCCTCTAATTTTACTAGGTAATGCATTTCAGAGGAGCTAAACCAATACATGTTCCTACCCTCTCTGGATGAATTCAACTGACCAGTACTTGGTATCGTCAGGGGACTTTTGTTTTGTCTTGCCAAACTAGAAAGTATGAAAAGATATTACAGTAGTTATAAAATGCATTTGCTTGGTTATTAATGAAGTTTAACATTTTTTCATTAGTCTAGGGGTGTTAAGTAATTTACCTATGGGCAGAGACGCTTTATGTTGAAATAAAAATGTTAAATTTCTAGAGATTTTAAGTCACATTGAGCATTACCAATATTTCCAGACTCCCAAGGATAATACCCATGTCTACTGATTCTTTTCCTGGGACTCTTCCTTTTCTTAAAAAGAAACACAGAATCATACCTTCCCTGCAAGCAGTGTGGCCAGTTGAGACACTGCCATGTGGCCAAAGAAGAGCCACACCAGCCTCTGCTTTCCCCATTCCATCCAGAAGCTCCACTCAAAGTCAGTCGGGTCCTAAAAAGGTCAAAACAGAAGTTGATAGTATCAGAGGGATTTAGTGCATGCCTGAAACAGAACAAAAACTCCAGTTACTAACACAACTAGACAGAAAGCTAATGTGAGTCCAAATTCTGTAAAATAGCATTTACCCACATCTAGCATTTCCTCCCCACCCCCCTAGATCTTGGCTGAGTTCACTGCCATTCCCCAAATGCACCTCTACTTTCTATAGAACTCAACATCTTCGGTAAAGCTGATCCCCCAGGACCCTGTATGGGATAGAAAGTATCATTTACCCATTTTGTAAAAGAAGGAACAGAGGCTACACGCCCTCTATGTTACCCAAGGTAACATAGTATAACTAATGAATTGGAGCTCTTCCAGTTAGACACCAAGACTAACGCTTGCTGTTTCATTAAGTGAAATGTAAATTAGACACTAATAAAAATCACTTAAGGTCAGTCATGTTAAATTTACCATCATTTATATGCAGAAAGATAATGGATACAGAAATTAACCAATTTCATATAAACTTGCAACGGAAGGATGAGAGGTACACTTCTCTTCCCCTCAGAAGTTCTGTGTCCATGGAGTGCTCTGTGCTGTATCCTTTTGGGTCCATGCCTGTGAGACGCCATGACTGGGAAAGGTAGAAACCTCTGATACAGTGAACATGGGGACTTCTGAGGACCAGCATCTACAAGCCATACCTCAGGAGCCAAAAAGATGATCATGGAAGCCAAGTTTAGCATGGAGAGCATAAGCAGCCATTGGTGGCACACAAATGGGCAATGTAGATTTGGCACCACCAGAATGGTCAGATTCTAGCTCAATTGTAACTGACGCTGAACACCTCACTAATCTTTTGGAAACCCACTTCACTGAATTTAGAGGAAAAAAAATTTTCACCTGATCTTTAAGAGGCAATTTCATACTGTTACACATATAAAATACTTGCTTTCAGAGGCAATATAATCAATCTTAATTCATATGCCCTTCCTTCTATAATCACTAATTGACATTACAACCTCACAATAATTCTTAATGTAACAGTTTTTCTTTAGTTAATAGACTGTCTTTTAGAGCAGTTTTTATCTGAGTACACAGTTCCCATACATATGTACAGCCTCCCCCACTATCAACAACCCCTACCAGACTGATACACTCATTCCAATTATGGATGTGTCTGTGAAGGACACATCGTTGTCACCCAACACCCAAAGTTTATGTTAGGATTCACTCTTGGTGCTGTACATTCTGTGGAGGGACAAGTATACAATAATACATATCCATCACTGTAATATCATACAGTGGTTTTACTAATCTAAAAATCCTTCATGCTCCACCTGTTCATCCCTCCCTCCCTACCAACCACTGATCATTTTATTGCCTCATGGTCTTACCTCTCTCAGAATATCACATAGTTGGAATAAAGTAGCTTTGCTTTCAACTCCATATTACAAATGAGTTAACTGGAAGCCAGAGAAAAAAAATTATTTGCCCAAAGTTAGTAGAGGGCAGAGATGGGTTTCATACCACAACAAAACCTAATACCAAGAAGAAAACCCTGATATCAAAGAGGAACCCCTTTCCCAAGGTATTTCTAATTGTGCTGTCTCCTCTACCTGGATCTCCCCTCTCCCCCACAATGCCATCTGACCAAATTCTCTCCAACCTACAGGGTGTTTCATCGATGCTCATAACCACAAATCCAGCCCAGTGATGTATACAAAATCAGTTTTCTAAGGCCGCCCAAATGTGCATCCTTCCTATTTCCATACCCCCAGGTGGACCTCACTGTATCCCATTCTCCTCATCCATACTTCAACTCTAGGCCTTTTAGTATACCATTTTATTACAGTTGGTTCACATGCTATATTTTCTCTCTAGGGGAAAAACTGTTACGTTCCCTGAGAGCAAGACCTTTACTTGCTCAAGATTCAGTAAGCCTTTAAAATGTGTGTGGGCGGGGGGTGGGGGTGCATAGGAAGCAGATAGCCTTAGCTCTCATCACATTTCTATTCCTTGTTTAAACTTGGACAAATACTCACTTAACTATCTGTATCTGAGTCTCCTCCTTTGTAAAATGAAGGGCTGGATTAGCACAATGTCCAGTACCTATAGCTACGTTTAGCAATGTACTCCCTAATAAGCCAGTATGTACTACATGCTCAACAAAAGCTTGCTGAAAAAGTTGAAAGATTATATAACGGGTCCTTTGTAAGTACTGGTATAAGTACAGTCTACTGGGAAAGGGGAAGTAGAGAGACTAGCATCTGCCCTTGAATGCCTTTATACACACAGAAAACAAACTCACAGTGTATTCATATTATATGATCTGTTCTATATCATCTTCACCAACTCAAGGCCTGACATATCCATTACTCACTCTGGAGACATGGGCAAAATAGAGTAATAGCACAACAGAGGGCCTATTTCATGATTTAATTATAAGAATAAATTAAAACATGGAAAACACTTGGAGCAGTGCCTGACATTTATCAAGCATTATATATACATATAAAATTCTTGATGATAATATATATATTATATATGGATATATATATCCATTAAGTAAATGTATGAATAAACAACAAATTCTGCTTTGCTTTGATATCCTCAGAAGCACAAGTCCAGGAGTTTCCTTGCTACACATTTTGAAACAGCTAGAGGCACCCACAGGTGAAGAGCAACAGAGTTGAGCTGCTCCAGCTCCCAACCTCGATCAAAAGAAGGAAAGAAGAAACATTCTAGACACCAGACTGAAAAGAAGTGAACCCAAGGTTAACAAAAGGGAGCACCACATTCAACAAAGCTGTCACCTCTAAATGCCATGGGAAAGTAACCATCCTAAGCTCTCTTTAAAGGGGAGTTCCAGACACTACTGATGAACTTAGTCAGCACTAGTTAAGTACCCTCTAGCATGACTTCCTATGCATCAAACATTAGAGGGTCAAGAACTACATATCCCAGAATGCGTTGCAGCTCACATGGTTCTGATGAACAAATACACTAAGACTCTGAAAGTTAAAAAAAGACAATGTGTAGCCATTTGACTCTTCTGGAAGAATCCCACAGTGGCAATTTCCTGATGTGGTAGCTTGTGCTAATGTGACGACAGCACCAGGTTCCCCCACCAGGAGCTGTACAATAGCAGCAGTTTTGTAGAGTGGCTCTATAAACTCACTATGGTTACTTAGGCAGCTCTTTCCATTATCCTGAAATATTTTTAAATCCCTGCAATAATTTTCTTTCTTTTTAAAATAACTGGGGTGGATTCTGTTATCTGCAATGAAACCTTGATTAACACACAATGGGAGAAATGTTTCTCCTGGATGAAATACAACTCTAGCTTTATAATGGGAGCATTACGAAAATAATTCACATTGAAGAATATTATTCTGAAATAAGCCTATTTGATGGAAGAAAATACCAGCTAGGTCAACCAATGAGTGTCCAACAACTAGACAGTGAAGGCAATAAATGCTTATATTAGACACATTCATTAGGTCTGGGAGTGTAACTCGGTGGTAGAGTGTTTGCCTAATATTAGACACATTCACTAATTTTTTTTGTATCCAAAACAAAATAAAAAATGACATACCTTACTCACCTGCCTGCACTTTTCATTAGTCTGTCTTTACTCCTCACATGGAAAAAGCATTTCCGTAACCTCATATCCATCACAAAAACACAAATAGTAGACATTTTTGTGTATCTAATTCATAAATAGCATCATATGCTTATTACGTACTTGGAGATCATCTCTAATTCCTAATTACATTGACCAAAAGTTTCTCTGTGATCAGAAAAAAAAGAAACTTTTCTAAAGTTCTTGAAATCATAAATGTTTCCCTGCACATTCAAAGAGAACAAACTTACCTTAATGGCCTATTAATCTCCAGACAAGAAACACAAAAGAAGACTAATTCAGTAGGAATTCTGCACAACAGAGGACTGCTCTCTAGATGAACTCAGGCTAATGATTCATCGAGCAATTGTTGGAAGAGTTTTCTTTTTCTTCTAACAGCTGCTTTGCTAGTTCTAAAATAATTTGAACTAAATCAATGTACTGCTCACCATTTCCAGAACAACAGTGTTTCCCAGCCAAAATTCCATAAAGATAAAATGGTCTAATAAAACTTACTTTTGTATAAATACAAAATCTGTGCTGATACATCTTTACCATTGTCATCCTGTACAAGTGAAGAGAATGGTACCAACAGGACAGGCGCAAACAGCTCCGGGCTGTGCACTATTTGCAGTCCTTCCCTTACCCTTGCCATCTAACCCAGGAGAATTGGTCCAGGGTATAATGGCAGAGCGAAGATGTTTCATGAAAGAAAAAGAGAAAACCCTCCTACAGTGGCTAAATTAAATCATAAGGATCTAAAATTAATGTAGATAAATTATTTGAAGAGCTTCAACCCAACTGCCAACCTAAACTCTCCAAAATCCTCTGGCTACAACTCTCCATTCACCACATTCCTAGAAGTCACTCTGGATTATGCAAGATTACACATACACCTGGTTAACACAGACAGACGGACAGTCATCTCCCTGCTTTTTATCCTCCAAAGTCCTCTCTTCTTCCTGAAGCTCTCAGAGAAAAAAATCTGTGTTAGTCCATTTTCTGTTATTATAATAAATACCTGAGTCTAGGTGCTTTATAAAGAAAGAGGGTTTATTTAGCTCACAGTTCTAAAGGTTCAAGGGCATGGTGAAGACAAAGTGGGGAATGGCATCACAGTAGGAGTGTGTGCCTCCTACTGTGGCATCACAGTAGGAGATCACATGATACAGCAGAAAGCAGCAAGATTGGGATGCCAGAGAACTAAGTCAATCCCTTCTGAGAGCATGCCCCAGTGACTTCACCTCTTATAAGTCTCCACTGTTAACAGGGACACACTGGGGACCAACCTTTCAATATAGGAACTCTCAGGGGGGACACAATCAAACCACATCCAAACGATAGCAGAACCAAATGTTTAAAACAAAACATCAAATTCCAGTAT